TATCACTTCTTAACAATTTAACACATCCTTGCTGAATAAAAGTTTTGATTTCTTTCAAAAAAACAGAATAAAAATTGACTGACACCAAACTTTTGAACTGTAGTGTATATTGTTAGAAAAGATTTCTATTTTAAATAAATGCCATTAATGAGGAAAATAAATTAACTTAAATGATTTTAGCAAATGGCTGCAATATAACAAAGAGTGAAAAATTGAAGGGGGTCTGAATACTTTCCGTACCCACTGTATATATATATATATATATAGTAGACATCTGTGACTTCTGAATCACAGTCTGAGAAAGTTTTTTGTAAAGCAAAACATCTCTAAAGGAGATTAGAGGGATCTTTTTCTCATTAAAACATCACAGAAGCTGTAGGCTTCTTCAAAAGTCTCATCTAAATCTCATTTCTGTCTGTGAGAAATGAGATTGAGATATTTAAGAGATCTCTTTTGTGATGTTTCATTCCTGCAGGGATATTCAGACTGTTTCACATGTATCTGCATCAGTTAATTGAATCAGTCATGCTGTGTTGTAGAGGTGCAGCGTCCCGTGGACCCGTGCCGCATCGGCACTCATGACTGTGACGTCCCTGAACGCGCTCGCTGCAGCTACACCGGAGGATCCTCCTACATCTGCACCTGCCTGCCGGGATTCATGGGAGATGGACGCAGCTGTCAGGGTGGGCCTCTGCCTCTCTATACAGACATGCTTTCATTCATAAGATTTATTAGAAGAATACACACCATTTTAATGTTTTCCAGACTGATCCATCAGCAGATATTTGGTCATTATTGGGTAATTAATTTGCATGATTGATTAATTAATAGAAGTGTTAATTCGGCCTAGTGTTTATTCAACAGTCTGGTCAATAGATAGTGTACTTATGTTTTTAACAATAATTTTAATTTCATCTGAATACATCAATTTTGTCTTAAAATCTTTATTTTTAAATTTCATATGAATATTGGTCATTAAAACTCCTATTAATCAGCCACTGCTGTAAATGCAGGATTTTTTACATCTGCAAATCTTCATTAGTTGTCAGAGAAATATAAATGACTTGGCATGATGTTAATGGACTTGGCCTCAGTGTGATTATGAGCCGAGAGGGAAAACAGACACAGCTGTGATCTGCTTTCATTTCTGCTTCCAGTCACTCCTGCATAATTCATTCATTTTTCAGCTTTATTACATAAAAGTCATTACATTTATCCACTATTTAAATGTAATACATTTGTTTAACATTTCAACATTTATTATTTGATTATAATGAATGTATTATCCAATTATTTAATTTATAATAATTAATTTAAAAAAATATCATTTAAATTTATTAAACATTTTCACTGTGCTTAATTGCCATTTAAATGCAAAAGAAAAATCTTTAAGTAAAATTTAATTTCTTATTTATTTTCTTTCTTTCCTTCCTACGAAGCACTGCGGATGACGTAATAAAATCAGAAACAGCTGTAGAAAATAAAATGTAAACATTCATATGTATAAGTGGGATCATAGATATTTCATTTTATTTTTTATTTTTAAAACATTTTACATAATTCTTTGCAAAACATTTTTTAATTTAATTGGTACATTTTCTTTGTTTGTTTCTGTCTTTCTCTCTTTCAGACATAGACGAGTGTCAGGTGAATCAGTGTCATGAAAATGCCGTCTGCTTCAACACACCTGGATCTTTCACCTGTCAGTGTAACCCTGGTTTCTATGGCGATGGTTTCCACTGCTCTACAGGTAGACCTTAGCTTTAAATGAACATCAGTTGAGTCTTTTGGTTTTGTTGTGCTCATTAATTCAGACCCATAACCTTCACCAACAGCTTTGCTGGTTTATTCATAGTTCTGCTAAATACCACTAAAGCCATTTCTAGCATATTTGGAGAATTTCATTAGGTTTTTGGATGCTATGGTTTGGAGAATCATCTGTGCGTCATTGCATGAGCATCCAGCCTTGAGCAACACTACAGTATCACAAAGTTTAAAGTAGACAACAGCTCTTTATGCTGTTATTTCGGAGCCCTTTTACCCACAGTTTATGCCATAAACCGTATCAGTCGTTCTAATGAGAGACGACCCTCCACTCTTTAAATATTACAACACGACCTGACCTCTTGACCCCTGAGGTATGTCGCGGCTTAACCCTGCCGCCATGAAAATCAGCTTGACAGCTGAATGTCTGCTGGGAACTGACCAGCTGCTTGAGGTTTAGGACCCCATGGCATCAATATTGCTGAATTTTATGAGCTTGAAGGTCATATATGTTGTCATTAAAACTGCCAAAATAAACTTTTAGCAGAAGTGTACAACACCGGTCAAAAGTTTGAAATAATTATGTTTTTATATATATATATATATATATATATT